GCAGGCTCGGGTCATCAACCTGGAACACCAATGAGAGGGGGGGACCATCATGCACATTTCTTGTCACCTGAACTGTCACTATTAACTGGCACTTTAGGATCAAGAGAACAGAAATAGACTCTTCTGGTATTTTTTTAAAATCATAATTGAGACCTAGAGGGGCCAAGAAAACTATACCAAGAACAATTCTAGAAAGAAGACAGACGGAATAACCACATTAAGCAGGCACTCACTATAAAAAGGTTTTTTAAAAATTGAAGGCAAAGTACCAGAAACTGTATCCTTATAGCCACTTTCGTTTATTTATCCTCCAACTTCCCACCACAAATTAGTGTCTAGGTAAAAGTTACATTTGCCACGGGAAGGAAAAAAGGTCAACTAAAAATATTTTAAATAGTAGGCTTCTGAAAAGTAGGGACCACGTCCCGTAACTGAACACTAGCACAAACCCACCCATGAGCAATTTTTTAAAAACGGTGATGATCTCCCGGAGAAGAAAGAATACTCTAGAGGACCCTAGTGAAAACTGAACTTCTGCATCACCAAAAATTTTACAGTCACACCTTGAAACTAGCAAAGCCTGTTTTGGAGCATATTCGAGAGTTCCTTTCTACAACCCACCTCCCAGAAAAGAAAACAGTTTCAAAACACAGTTTCTCTACAGTAGCTTTCTGATGAGAGATTTAAAACACAAGACAAGGTCATATGTAAGAAATTTACTAATTAAGTCATACCTCATAAATAATTCTCTGTACGAGGTCAAATTCTCCCTCCAAAGAGGAATCTAGAAGTAACGCGAGGGGGTTGAATTTCACCCTCATCCCATGAGCGATCCGCTCTGAACCGGTCTTACGCAGGTTTGTCCTCTTGCCCTGCAGAAGAAACGCACAGAAAATTGAGGAGCCTGGGCTAAGCCAGAGAGGCCACATGAACAAAGGGGACGGCCACCAGACCAGCTGAGCTGGCGAGGAACTTCAGAAACAGAGAGCTAGCACGTCTTACTGAAGTTGAACATTATTCAGAAAAGTACCTAAATCGTAACATACAGCCTAATGAATACGCTCATGTAACACAGGCGGAAGAACTTAACTTTATAAAACCCGGCAGAATTTCATTTGGGAATACATTATAGCACAAACTAAATAAGAATATACATAACCCGCAAGGGCCAGTGGGCTGACTTTCTGTCAAGTACCAAAATGAGCCAAAACTGGTCTTCAGATTGCCTAGCCAACACGGTATAACAAACCTCACACGATTCAACTGGGCGAGAGCACAGCTCAGAATTACAACATTTACTGAACGATTACTCATTCATCCCTCACAAAAACCCTATTATCCCATTTTACAGATAAGGAAACTAGGCACGCAGCCAGTAGACAGCAGGGCTAGAATTCAAATCTAAGCAATCCGGCTTCTTTGGAGCCCTTCCTCTTAACCATTTCAGGACATAAATGCCTCCTCGGGGAGAAAGCATACAATTAAGGTAAACAATAAAGGTTATTAGTCTGTTCAGGATATACCAAGAAGGAATTCTACCAGTCTGAAAATGCTATCACTATTTTATATTAAAAATTTAACTATACTCCAAAGTACACGAGTAGATAATCAAATCTTTCTACATTCTAAAAATAAGTCAGGCTTTAAAAAATAAGGCAAAATTTTAAAAACTAGCTCCAACATCCTATAAAAGTTTTCTTAAACATATGCAACAGTACGAAAACCCCGAGTCACTATGTTGTACACCTGAAACTAACATAGTATTGTACGTCAATTACACGTCAATAAAAAAGAAAAACCCATCCAACAACGTGGAAACGTTTCCTACGGTGTGATATGCTATACAGGCTTCTCTTTATTTTATCTGAGGTATGGAAAACTACTGAATTTTGAAAAACACTAAGTGGCAATCCACATATTTCACAAATATGCAGCGGTTAAAATGCTGTTTCTTGAAGAAAAGAGAAGGCGTGTAAACACCGTACCAATGTGCTAATACGACTCACAGGGGCACAGGGGCACAGCGTGAGCACAGCTGCCACACCCACCATCACAGAAAGTACCAGACAGCGGCTTCTGTTTACTTGAACTAAGAATGAAAAAGCCAAGCATCTTCCTAGGAAGAGAATAGCAGAATCTTAAAAAGACAGTATGATACTTTTATAAACTCTGGTTTCCTTCTTCCTCTTGGAGAGTATGAATTTCTTTGAGACAACAAAAAGAGAGGGGAAATAAAAGGAGATGCTAACGCTTCTGTCCTTTTCATCTGTGGAACACTCAAATGAAGAGAATCAAACCTCAGGACTTAGACAGAAGGCACAGAGCTCCTTAAATAAAGTGTTAACCTCTATTTTAAAACTTTTTCCCCTAGAATCCAACGTTTACTATATAAAACTTGAGCGACCGTTTACGGTAACCAGTAGTTCAAACAACTCTGGATAATCACCATCTTTGAACACTATCACATCCTAAAGCTGTAGGAAGGGATCAAACATAGAAAGCACTTTTTAAAAAAAATCCTTACAACATCCTATTTTGCTTTTGACCAGGTTTTAAAAATTCATAGTTTGGCATCCTAATGAAACAAAACGACTTTCAATTAAACCCGGAAAAAGCCGACTTTATTTAAAGACATTCCGGGATTCTGACCTTCTCTCAACTATTTCAAAGCGACACGATGAACTTCCCAATAAAGGCTCAGTACCCGGAAGGAGTGTGGAAGCCTCGCCCAGGCCAGTACCCACCAAGCTTTAGTCACTTCATGCTGGCGTACAAAGGAACCTTCGAGACCACAGGCTACCCAGAGATTTTCAAACCACACTGAAAGTGAGGAAGAGGCTAAGTCCCCCATGCGCCCCCACTTCATCCGGAACCCTACCAATTTTATCAATGCTGGAAGCTTGAGGTTGCACCTAAATATTACGTTAAAAATAAATTTCACTGCCAGAAAAAGAAAAGTTTGAAAGCGGATACCACCAATGAGAGAAGTGGACCCATCCGCCCGATTTCAGAGCTAAGCTAGTGACCGAGCTTCAAATCCAGCTCTCCACTCTCGGTCGAGTGTGCCTTCCCGACTACTTGACAGCCGGGTAAGAAACCGCCAAGGTGCTACTTATGGCTCTAAGAACAAAATTCTGTTTCCATCACAAAGAAGAGGGTTCTTTCGAAAAGACAAAAATGTTCTTTATACTGAATATACTGAATTTTGATTCATGAGATCCACTTGGTGCCAAGGGAACTGTAAAATAAAAGGCCAGCCGTGGAACACACTTGCTACGACACGCAATTTCAACACAAGCCTCTTTTGCAAGTGGCCGTTAAGTACTTGCTGGCGTCTGACTGAGTTCTGACAACCATCCACCTGGAAGACGGTGACAAGGTCAAGGCTCCTGAAATGACCACGAGAGCACGTTACTTACAGGAGGCAGAGACACCTGCCCAGTGATTTCAGGCGGACGCATGCTCACAGGGTCTTCTCCCGGCCCCTCGGGTTCCCCGGACGGGTACGGCGGGGGCGGGTAAGGGGGGTACTCCTCCAGGTACACGTCAAGCGGATGGGGCGCCTCTAGATTTGGCTCTTCCACGCTATTCTGGAAATTTGGGCTGCTGTCTGGGACTCCTTCAGGCACATAATCAAGGCCCGGAGACGGAGCTGGCAAGTCACTGCTCTCTGTACTGGCACCCCCTATTTCCTCTGGGGACACCGGTTCAGGAGCCACAGGGACCACCTCCTTCTCTGGCTCCACGTGTAAATAGGGATTCTGGATTTCTACTGGGCTTTCTGAGCCCGCAGTCACTGAGGTTGACTTGGATGGGTAGGACGGGACGGAGATGGTCTCCATGGCAGCTATGGTGGTCCTCTGATACAGAAGTTTCTGAATATTCGGCCCATTAGGACCCTCAGGCTCTGTAATAGAGCTGCGTTTTTTCAGGGGCCGCGGTGCATTGGACAGTTTCTTTCGTAGGGCTTCTAAGTCAGCATCACTCTGGTTTCGGTAAGGATTGGACAAGAAAGGCAGTAACTTGGTTGGGCTGAGGGGTCGAGGAATTCTTTCGTTTTCATGGTTCTCCTGCCCTGAGGAAACGGGCTCTGTTTCGGGCTCCGGACTGCCAGGCTTGCCCTGGGCAGTGGAGTAAGCGTTCTCCGGGGGCTGCTGCTGACTCTGGGCAGCTGCAATCACGGGCTTGCCGTACACTAATTGGAAATGGAAGAGAAACCCTGATTAGTATTAATCAAACAAGACGGCAAGTAACAGACATAGCTAACAATAAGCGAAGCATCTTTTAATTTCACAGGTAACCTTTCAATACAAGCTTTACAATAGGAAAGAAAACAGTGCCAATTATAAGTGTAAGAAATCACTGACTGCAGCATCCAAATTTAAAATGTCGAAACGTGAAAAGAACTTAGAATCAATGAAAACTGGTAATCCTTTGATGTGTCCAGATTAAAATAAAACACACACTAGCCCATCTTTTATCATTTTCAAAAGTAAATCAACGTGAGCAATCATATTTGCCTTATAAAATTATCAAGAACCACTTATATTTACCAAAACTAGTCCCCTTAACATTCTATCAACATTACCTAATTCCCAAATTATCATATTAGCAGTTTTCACCAAAGACCCATGAAAAGAGTAAGATCCAGCATATATATTAATTCTTTACGGTCAACTATCTTTATGACATCTTAGGCCACAATTCCATGCTTATTTCCTGACGAGAAAGCTATTTTCTTTCGATTACAACACGGTGAATTTTATTCTAGTCCTATAAACCACTAATGCCTCTTAGAAAGAAACCCAACAAATTACCAGATTATCTACATTTAACACAAAGTCATCTTTTTTTTGTTTTTAAATTTAACTAGTGGCTGAGTCCTCATTAGAACAATTTAAAATATAGTAGAGAGTGATTTTTTTAAAAAACACATACATGAAGCAGTTGTTCAACCCTCTACGCACCAAGAACATCTGGTCAACCCTACAGTGAAGACACAGCCTTGGGCACTGGAATGACACCTGTGGGCGTTTTTCCTCCACTCACGGATGAGCTCCTGAGTTCTCAGTTCTAAAGGAGCTCACCAACGAGTAAAAGACGAATGCACACGAGTAATTACAAAGTAGAAGGCTATGTGTTTACCACAGGTTCTATTCATCTCTTTTATTCAGCTTGTTCATCTATTATTTCCATCTTATTTCATTTTATTCATCTATTATCTTCAGTGCCTACTGCAGTAACTGACATTTTGCAGGAACTCTTTTGAACCCTCGGTTAAGAACAGAAGCCACGATTAAACAAAACTCAGAACAAAAGCATGACAACAGGTACGGGTCACTCTGCCGCTCACTGACAGCCGGAGCCCTGATGCAGGGCTTGGACACCATCTACGCGGTGAGAACAACACCGAGACGCTCACCGCTGGAAAAGTGCGGCCCTCTGGACTGCGTCTTGGTCAAGGCACTCTGCACGGCCTGCTGGAAGTTCTTTCCGGGAGCCTGATGCTGGGTGTACATGGAGTATATGGAGCTCGCCGCCACGGTCTGGGGTTTCCTGAAAGGCGGCAGCAGGGCATCTTTGGAAGGCTGAGGGGTGAAGGGCCGGACAGCGGCGGCAGGCGGACTTTCTTGCTTGGACCCTGGAGCAAGGGCTTGGTCTTGGCCCACTGCAGGTGCGCCGGGGGCCAGCAGGACCCTCGGCTGCTGCCCTGCTGGTTTCGGTTTATTTCCCACGGATGCCACAGCTGCTGACAACTGCTGAGGATTTCCATCTGGCTTAACGTCTGACGGCGACTGATTGGTTTGTCCAAAATAAGGCAAATTAATCTGTTTTGGTTTTGATGGAACAGGAGGTGGGACTTTAGCCACATTTTTATTTGCAGCCTGCAACACACAAACACAAAGAGCCAGTTAGAATATTGTATAACTGGGTACCAGGATGTTCCAGGTGACCGAATTTCACAAATGTTGAGTATACACTGAAAATTAAGTCATTAAAAAGTTTTAAGTCTCTGAATTTAACCACATTTAATAAGGGACTTTAGCAATGCAACACGATTCCTGTCCTGAACTGCCTCCTCCTTGTTGCCACTTCCCATTTGGGCAACTCTAAGTGCCCACGCGAAAACTTTTATCTGCCACTTTACACAGTCACAAATGGCACCAATCAATGAAAACCATCCTTGTTCATGGAACCTCACGTGACCTAGACCACTGTGGTAAAAAACGCCTCGATCTGGAGCACGCAGCCAGAATGGGTTGTCAAAGGTTGGAATTCTAACAGCTATACAAGATTCGCCATCAGATCGTTTCACTCCAAATTTTGACTCAGCCCCAAATTTTAAAGAAATAATGTAATTAAGCAGCACAATGTTCTTCAATGCACCCATGTTTTTTTAGAGAATCACATGAAATACAACCCAAAAGCAAGTATGTCAGTCCTCCTCCAACGTGGTGTGGGACCACAAATATACTCAAGCGACAGAATTTAAGATAACAGAATGCTGTTATATTTTCTAATCTTCCACATATATTTCGGTTTTTCCTGCTCTCCCTCACATAACGCTTTATCTCTTCTAAAAAAGGCAGACAGAATTACCATTAAAATTTAAAAGTGGGATATTCCTACGTACCTGAGCATCCCGCAAGATGTCTTCACTGCTCTGGTTTTTCCTCAGCGTGCCAAAGGAGGGCGGGGCGGCAGACTGGTCCACTGAGTCAAACATGGAGAAGGGCCGCACTTTCTTCTCCTTCTCCCTCAGTGGCACCTCCCCATCGTCAGCTGATGACGACAGGAAAAACTCACATGGATGTTCAAACTGTTTGTCATAAAATTTCTTATTCACGCTTAAGTGTACCTCCCCTCAGTTTCTTTGAAACCCTGTCCCCGCTAAAAGCTCTCCCATTTTTAAATTAAGTTGATTAAAGAGCAACTCGAACACTACAAGCCTAGTACCTTAACTCCGTGGCTAAAGGAAAGTGTTCTGGAAATAAACACTGTCTCTAGTTCTAACGCACTGGAAAATAAACTACCTAAAAAAGAATACAGGGCGCCTTCTAGATGGCCAAAACAGAACGCTGGGGAGCAGCACAAGGAAACCTCACCTTGGTCTGCAGCGTCCCCGGAGGTTTTAGGCAGAGAAGCGGAGGCCTGGGTCGGGAAAAAGTCTGCATTTGAAGGACTCCACTCAGGTCCCAGGGAATGGATTTTAGAGCCTGGAACACAGAAAAGCCACTGCCACTACCCCAGCGTTCTAGAGAGATTCTGAATGGCTCAGTTCACTGCTACAAAGTTTAATCCCGAAAAGGAGCTTGAAATTTCAGACTCAAAACAACCCCCGTAAGCTTATTTAGAAACATCAGATTTTTCTATTTCTAATTTGAGATTTTGTCCCCTACGCAACGCAATTTAAAATAATTCATGGTAAACAGAAAGTCGGCCTGACCCAGCAAGGACTCTACTCCTCACTGGGTAAGAAAACGTCACCGTCACACCCAGAAGACGCCCAGGTTAGCAGACCAAGGGCTCCGAGGTGTACCTCAGATAAGGACACCACAGGTGACGTAGGCACAACAAAAAGGCAAAACGTGGACTTTCAACCCATGACTCTGACCACCGTCCTTCACAAATCAGTGATTTCAGGGTTTTTTCCTACACTGATATTTAAGTTTCAAAGCCACAGCTTTTATTTTTCCTTATAGAGACAAAACAAAAGTAACTCTTCCTACAATAAAACGCAGACTATGTGGCACTGTTGCTTCACGGTGATAATTACAGCAAAATAACGAATCATTTTAAAGTTAGCTATTTTTTGCACACGACAGTGGTTTGAGAAGAGAGACAATAATGGCTATTATTTTTTTCTTCCAGGGGTCTGAAGGATAAGGTCTTTAAAGGATGTTTTCACCCTGTTTTCCCTATTAACTCTCCCTTCATTTCCTCCTCCTATTACAAAACTCCGACTTGCACCTCTCCACGGACCTGAGCACTGCAGGATGCAAGGATCACTAACACAAGGAGCCTCTGCTATTTTCACTCTGCCTCCCAATGTTTGCCTTTATTCTAAATGTTACTGGCAGGAAAATACTCATGCATAAGTTCACATCAAAGCCAACACCATTTATCAACACAATGAGTTCACCGCCTCACATTCTGTAGATGACGCCACTAATACTCACATACATGGTGTTTTCACACAAAATGAAAAGTTCTGAATTTATTAACATCAGATCCAAAATTCCATATTAACAAGAAGGAATTAAAACAATTTTCAGGTTTGCAAAAAATACTACATTTTCTTTCATTTCTTGAATAGAATGGTACTGTTTCAGGTTAAGAAATTGATTGCACTAGCAAAAAATACACAGAAATTCTTAGAATTCAAACAAGAACAAGGGATAGGGAGACAAATTTTGTAAAAATGCAAACTTGGGAAAAATAATAATGAGGACATGGAGGAACTGAGCTGGGGAAGGACTCAGAAATGTCTTTACCTTTAGTTTGTGAGGCGGCCCCCGATCTCATGTTGGGCAGCGTCTGCACCTTCATGGGCCCATCTGCAACCTGCATGGCCAAGGAACCATCCGGCAGGGCTGGCTTCACCACAAGTTCAGGCCTCGAGGAAATCCGCGGCATCGTAAACGACTGGATATAGGGACCGACAGCAGCCACACGACTCGGCGCAGAGACCCCCTGCTGGAGCAGACTCCCATCGGAGGAAACCTTAAGAAAAAGCACAGTCCTTCAGTGTTACAGGTCACATCGGATCAAACTCAGAAAAGGCTGGGAGATTTTCATACTTTTTAAACATCAGCACTTTCAGGATCTAGCCTCAGAACCTACAAGAAACGTCCCCACACAAAAACTCTCCACAAGGAATTCTCACCCATACTTTATTACAAGTATTAGAAAGCAGAGCAAAGCTACAGAGACAATAACAGCAACAAGCACAAGAACAAGGCACGAGCTTTTGAGGAGCCAGAAGTACTGTCTCGCTCGTTTCTGAGTCACACCGAGTGACGGTTCTGAAGCAGCCACTGCGGTGACTGCCCTCGCCAGGCTGGTCATCTCCCCTCTCCCTCCCCGGCCCGTGACAAAACAGCCCACTTACTGGAAGGTTCTCTTTCTGCTGGAGTGCTGCCTTCTTCTTCCAGAGCCGGTCCCTCAGCTCATTAACACGCTTATCCATGACTGCCACTTCTGAATTGCGCTTATTCAAACACTCCCTCTGTTGCTGCAGCTTGGCATTCTGCTCTTGATTCAGTTTGTTTCTTAACTGAATAAAATGGGCGGGGGGGGGGGGGGGGGGGGGGGCAGGTAGCCAAGGAGTAGGAAGAAGAATTTCACAAACAGAGAACCACATGGCTCGCTATTACATAATTTCTGAAAATGTAAGGTCCCTCCACGCTTCCCAGCTCATGGTTTACAATGAGGCGTCAGACCACCGACTATGGTTCCGAGGAGTGCCTGAAATTTCCTGTCTGAGGTCCTACGAAGTCGACTCCGGGTTCTTTGGGCTTTAGGTCTCATCCCCTCCCTCTCCTTTAAGGAAAAGAAACCACAATCCAGCATTCCCTCGCGCTTATCCGGAGGAGACCCTATTCTATCTCGTGTGCAGCCGGACTCACCTGCAGCTCCGTGTAGAGCCGATCGAGCTCGGCCACTGCGGACTGGCTGTCATGGTGACCGTCGATCCGGCCGTTCTTGAGCATCTCCAGCTGTCTCGTAAGTTCCTCTACTTTTGACACAGCCAGAACGAGCTCCCTCTGTTTTTGCTGGAACAAGCTATTCATCTGTTCAATCTCCTCCACTAGAATGAGAAGGAGAAAAGGAACACGAGTTGAAAAGAAAAATAAGAAAGGACCGCCTCCCAGGCAACCGGGCTTTACAATAAACTTCCTACTAGAGAGTAGAGAAATCCTTAAGAAATGTCCTAGAACCACCCTATTTCTTTCATAGGCAACTGAAATGAACACGGCTCTCTCTGAATGTCTGTGCCTCTTTCTGAATGTACTTTTAGCAGAGTTTGTATTGTGGATATAATTAAACAAACTCCAAATTTTAGAAACAATGAGATTTCTTTACAATTTTTAATCTCAATTTTACAGTGGCAGATGGAGTATTAAATCAGTAAGATT